TTTAAATTGATTTTCACGATATATCTTCCGATTAGAGTGTCGGGATGAAAGCCTCTAATTGTGTTATAAAAATGAATAATTGATATGATTGATCCAATCCAATTGAGGGAATTCCGACGCTTCACTGCTTCGAATTATTGATTTTAATTTCACCTTTCAACATTAAATTTTATTACATATTTGATAGAACAATTCAGCATTTTTAATCATTTAAATATTCTTCCATCTCCCTATCGATACGACACCTCAAAATTATGCTACAATTACCTCGTTATTCTTTGGGCGTAATCAAATAGATTTCATTATGAAGAAGTGAATCCTTGTCTCATTGCCTCACCGCTGATTCCCTATGCATTGATCTAAGACTGGTAAACATATTGTTTATGGCATTTGATGTTACACTAAATTAAGAAAAATGCACAAGTACTGAAAGTAAATACTTAGCCTTCATTTGGGAAGAATTTATAAATAGATAAAAGTGAATNTGTTACACTAAATTAAGAAAAATGCACAAGTACTGAAAGTAAATACTTAGCCTTCATTTGGGAAGAATTTTTAAATAGATAAAAGTGAATGATGGATAAGTAGATGGTATATATGAATCCAATGAAATATTTTGTTGAAATGAAATTTGACAATTTATAAATGATTTATAAATTTTGTCAAATGTGGTTTAGAGAAAAACTTTATTTTTGACTTTAGTAAATAAAAAAAAGTTGTATATTATGAAACTTACATCTTTACTTGTATATTTTTAAATAAACATATTTACTTATAAGTAAATTTATGTAATTCAATCGTATTTTTTCCCCTTATATTTTATATTCATCACTTGGTGAGTGAATAAATAATCCATTTTAGACTAATCTCATTGAATGTATTATTTTAGGATAGTTGATTAAAGGAGGATAAGTTCTCCAAATTAATTTTATTTATTGCAAACACTGAAAAAAAGTAAATTAATTTTTTGTTCAATCTAATACGGTACATTAAGCCTTGTTTGGTATACATTCTTTCAAAATACATTATTTCAAAACTCATTTTCAATCACACATTTTTCAATAAAATAATATTTTATATCACATCAATAACATTTTCTTACTTTTTAACCACATATTTCTCGTCATATTACTATTTATTAAAATACATTCTTTACTCAATAATATTCATCAAACACACCCTAAATGCATGCTAAATGTATTTCTTCGGCTAAAACTTGTCCTTTCTATGTCAATTTCGATGAAGCAAATAATGGATCTTTTTCCATGACTTGTCATTGTTGTCCGCTTTCTAAGAAAAGAAGAACACGAGAAAAAGAATATAGAAAATATAAATGCTTTTTCCAGAATTCGAGATATGTATTTTTTGTGTGTATATATAGGTGAGTGAGAGGTTGAATAAAACGTATAAATAAGAACAATTCAAGTAACAACTGTCGTAACTTGACTATATTATTTAACTAAATAGACTTTAACACGTATATCAATTTAACTCGAAAGCTCGAGTTATTGTCTCCTTTAACCAAAAAGAAATCATTGCTCACCTATCCATATGCTTTAATTGTTCTGCCAATTAATCTACATCCATATTTTGTAGTATATAACCAAGATGAGCATGCACACGACTTCTCCAATTGTACTATAGTCGTATTTAGAGAGTGGAAAAATTAGGAATAGATTCTTGAAACTTTCAGCTAGTGTTAAAATGACTTCTTAACCTTTAAAAATGAGGTTTTGACTCCTCAATATATTGAAACATATAACATTATATCCACACATTATGGAAATCATTAAGATTAATTATATTCACATCACTATTTTTGTTATTTTTGCACCACATTTTAATGCAAATGTTCTAAAATTTTGCTCATTTTCGTATTTACATCTTCAACTTTTTTCATCGCATTATCATCCTCAACATTTAATTACTTAGTATATCTTGCCTCTAATGATGATTTCTATTCAAGTATTTGTGTATTGAAATGAAAGACAAACGTTTAATCAATTATTTGTATTTTTTTGTCATTTAAAAATATGATGGACAAATAAATCTATTACCCACTCCTAACGAGATTCCTAGATAGAAATTGTTATCAGAGATAAAATGTGAAAAATAATAGAAGGTTGATGATAATAACGCAAAGAAAAAGTTAGGGACAAGAGAGTGAAAATGAGTAAAGGGTGGTGACTTTCATTGCTATTAAAATATGATTTAGCTAACAAAACTAATGGTGTGAATATAATTATCCAACATTAGTATGTTAGAAACTCAAATTTATTTAAAATGATTGTTGTGCCCTTAATGGTATTAAAGAGAAATTAAGGATTGAAATCCCATGGCTCAAGAAGTGTGAAATTAGTTTACCAACTTTCAAAATTAAGCTTTTGACTCCACAACATATTCAATTATGTGAGATTGAATTCCAGCCAAAAGAAATCTATTACTTGATCGTCAAAAAGTAAAAAGTCCTTTAGAATAACTATTATTCATTTACTAAATATTAAAAATCAAAATAAAAAATTTGTGAAACAAACAAAAAAAAAAAGAAAAAAGAGAGAAAATTTTATTTTTATTTTTGTTTGATAGTTTTTAATATTTAGGTAGGGTAATAATCATTATAAAGACATCTTGACTTTTTACGGTTCAAAGAAACAAATTCCAAGGACCTAATCTTACATGATTAAATAGGTTGGGTTGAGGAGTTGATTCAACACTTCATGAGGGTTTGGAAACACATCCCTAATTTCCCCTAAAAGGAATATATATATATATCTTCGTAATAGAATTTCTTGTTTTTAACGGAAAAACTAACGGAATTTGTTGTTTTAACGGACTATGTAATGAAATTTCTTATTTTAAACAGGCAGCTGCACCTTCTTTCAGTGCTTTTATCATAACTTTGTATTTCGATGTCCGAT